TTGGGGCCTTGGGGGTGGTATTGGGGAAGTACCCCGGCTGGTTTGGGGAAGTACCCCGGCGGTGTGGGGGGGAAATACCTGGGTGGTATGTGGGGGGAATACCCCGGGGGGTGTGGGAATTTCCCTGGCTGTTGTGGGGAATACCCCGGGTGGTAGGAGGGAAATTTCTTCTTTTATTAATACCTGGCTTTGGGGGTGGGAATTTCCCGGCTGGTGTGTGGGAATACCCTGTGGTATGTGGGGGGGTACCCTGGTGGGTTTTGGGGGAAAGTACCCGGGTGGTGTGGGGGGGAAATAAACCCCGGGTGGTTGGGGGGAAGTACCCCGGGGGATGGGGGGAAGTACCCTGGCTGGTTGTGGGGAAAATCCCCGGTGGTTGTGGGGGGAAAACCCGGTGGTAGGGGGGGGAAGTACCCCGGTGGGATGTGGGGAGTACCCCGGTGTTTGGGGGGGGAAGTACCCACTGGTATGTGGGGGGAAATACCCCCTTGTATGTGGGGAAGTACCTGGGTGGTATGTGGGAAGTACCCGCGTTGTGGGGGAAATACCCTGGGGTGGTATGTGGGTAAATACCCTCTGGGAAGTGGGAGTACCTGGCTGGTATGTGGGGAAATACCCGGTGGTTTGGGGAATACCGGTGGTATGTGGGAAAGACCTTGGGTGGTAGTGGGGAGTACCCTGGTGGTTGTGGGGAATACCCCGGCGGTTTTGGGGGAAATACCCGGCTGGTATGTGGGAATTTCCCTGGCTGGGGTTTGGGGGAATTTCCTGGCTGGGGTGTGGGGAATTTTCCCCGGCTGGTTTGGGGGGAATACCTGGTGGATGTGGGGGAAATTTCCCTGGCTGGTGTGTGGGGAATACCCGGCTGGTGTGGGGGTTCCCCGGCTGGGAGGGGGGGGAAAAATACCTGGGTGGTATGTGGAGAAGTACCCTGGCTGGTGTGTGGGGAAGTACCCTGGTTGGTATGTGGGGAAGTACCCTGGCTGGTATGTGGGGAAGTACCCTGGCTGGTGTACCACCATCAAGACCACCCTATACCACCACCACTTTCGTATCTTTCTACCAACTTTTTCTTGAAATTTATAGTGTTTCTCACTCTCTTTACCAAAGGGCTGGCACTAGAAGCTTTCTTTGGGCCCATGTTATCTTATTTAGCAGTTACAAGCACTAAAAACAATGGAATAACACAAAATGTATCACATGTACGCATGGAATCGTCCTCACTGGCTTGTAAACAATGGCACACTGGCCACTCAGGCTGCGCGGACATGTTTGAGACGAATGACTTTAACCGAGTTCTTTGTCATTAACTGGGCCAATACTGTGACGTAAAAACGTGTCGTTATCCGATTTTTATGTTGTCTGATGACGTCGTTAACTGAGGGTCCATTGTAACATTATAGTAAGCTCCTCACTTAGCAACGAATTCATTTAGCAACGTGGTCTTAGGACTGGAACTTCGTCGTTACGTGAGGAGAGGCTATGTAAGATTAGAGAAATTAGTACTGGAAATTACAGTGAACCCTTGGGTAACGGCATTAATCCGTTCCAGAGAGCTCGCGTTTAATCGATTTGGATGTTAGCCGAATCAATTTTCCCCATAAGAAATAATGGAAATCCAATTAATCCATTCCAGACACCCAAAAGTATAAAACAAAATATTTTTTTTACATGAAATATACATTTCCTTATACAGAAAACAATGAGACACGCACAATAAACAATACTGAAATGACACTTACCTTTATTGTGGACTTATTGATGAGTGACAAGACGGGAGGAGGGGAGAGGATGTAGGTGTACTATTGTTTGGAAGGAGAATCCCCTTCCATAAAGACTTCAGGTAACAAGTCCTTTACTGGGGTTACCTCCCTTCTTGGTTTTTTAATGCCACTAGGACCAGCTTGAGAGTCACTGGACCCCTGTCGCACAAAATATCTGTCCAGAGAGCTCTGTTTCTGGTGTCTCTAAGATTTCCCTAAAATGGAACACAAGAGTGTCATTGTACATGTTGTCAAAATGGCTTGCAACAGCTGTGTAAGGATAATTTTCATCCATAAATGCTTGCACCTTTGTTCACATTGTACAAATCTCCTTAATCTTTGACAAAGGCAACTTCCTTACTCTCTCTTCCTCCTCATTTGAAGCACATTCCTGAGCTGTGATCTGTTGCTGTTGCACCTGAAGCTCTTGCAGCTCTGTAGTGGTTAGCTCTTTATCGTCGTCCTCCACCAACTCTTCCGCATCCTCGCCACTAACCTCCAACCCCATGGACTTCCCCAATGCCACAATAGATTCCATAACTGGCATAGGCTCCTCAGGGTTAGCCCTAAACTCTTCAAAATTCCTCTCTTGTAAACATTCTGACCACAATTTTTATCCAAGCAGAGTTCAAAGTCCTGCAAGTCACTCCCTCCCAAGCCTTACCTATAAGGTTTATGCAACTGAGGATACTGAAGCGATCTTTCTAAAACTCTCTTAGGGTCAATTCAGTGTCTGAGGTCACTTCAAAGCACTTCTGAAACACTGCTTTGGTGTACAGTTTTTTGAAGTTTGAAATGGCCTGCTGGTCCATAGGCTGAAGGAGAGGAGTGGTTATTAGGAGGCAAACACTTCACTTTGATGAAGCTCAACTCCCCCACAATTTGCTCTTGCAAGTCGAGACGATGAGCAGGAGCATTGTCCATTACCAGGAGGCACTTGAGTGACAATATATTTTCCAGTAAGTATTTTTGCACAGTGGGGGCCAAACACATCATAGAACCAGTCAAGGAAAATGTCCCTAGTGACCCATGCCTTACTGTCTGCTCTCCACATCACATACAATTTAGTCTTGATGACACTGCTTTTCTTGAACACTCTGGGAGTTCCAGAGTGATACACTTTGCAATCCCCACTAGCATTACTACAAAACATGAGAGTTAGCCTGTCTTTCATAGGCTTGTGTCCTGGGAGTGCCTTTTCCTCCTGAGTAATGTAGGCCCTGTTTGGCATTTTCTTCCAAAACAGGCCTGTTTTGTCACAATTGAACACTTGTTGGGGTTTTAATTTTTCAGCTTCTATGTACCCCTTAAAGCCCTGCACATATTTTTCAGCCACTTTTTTGTCAGAACTGGCAGCCTCGCCATATCCTTATCACACTGTGTATGCCACTACGATTCTTAAATCTCTCAAACCAACCTTTGCTGACCTTAAATTCACTAACATCAGCACTAGTTTCAGGCATTTTCTTAATTAAATCATCATGCAACTGCCTTGCCTTTTCCCACATTATTGACTGAGAAACACTATCTCCTGATAATTGTTTCTCGTTGATCCACACCAACAACAGTCTCTCCACATCTTCGAGTATTTGCAGTCTGTTTCGTAAGCATACTGACACCTTTTGCAACAACAGCTTCCCTGATTGCCTTTTTGTTTGCCAAGATAGTAGTGATGGATGAATGGGGTTTGTTGTATAATCTGGCCAACTCAGAGACACGCAGTCCACTATTGTACTTCGCGATTATATCTTCCTTTAATTCGATAGTATTTCTCACCCTTTTTACCACAGGGTTGGCTCTGGAAGCTTCCTTTTGGCCCATGGTGGCTTATTTAGCAGTTACAAGCATTAAAAACACTAGAATAATACAAAATGTATCGCATGTACGCATGGAATCATCCGGACTGGCTTGTAAACAATAGCACACTAGCTGAAGGCAAGGCATCTGAGGCGCTCAGGCTGAACAGACAGGCGGGCACGTTCGGGACGAATGCCCTTAACCGAATTCTTGGGCATTAGCTAAGCCAATATTTCAATGCAAAAATGCACCACTATCCAATTTTGGCGTTAGACGATGCTGCTGTTACCCGAGAGTCCACTGTATAAGGAATCACACTCAGACCATATGAAGCTAGTGTATGTGACGAAGTTGATGAGATTCCTAGTAATCACACAAATGAGCCTGACACTGACAATCATTCTGACCCAATACCTTCTACCTTCTAATAATCAGACAAATCAACAATCTGACTGTTGCTATTCTCTACACGACAATTAGTGATGAATCCTCAAGTTTCAGCTAATACTAATGCTGATCTTCCTCAACCACATGTATTAGCAGTTGCAACGAAATTTGACCCCCCTAGAGACGATGACCACTCTGCATACGTAAATCTCACTCTAGCAGAGTTGGGGGTTAAATGTAAACAACCTGTATGGATGAATAGTATAGTACAAAAAGTATTTCAACTGTGTGTATAGTAAGCCTTCTAGTATATTGATTTGTGTTGAATTTTTTTTTTTTTTTTTAGCAAGTGTTCATGCTCTCTCCAAATTCTGAGATTTAACAGTAGTGCATCAAGTTTGCCTTTTCTGTTAAATACTTTCTTCTTTGTAAATACATTTCCTCAGAATCTGTAGACCACATGACTACCGATCGACTGATCTCTTTTTGTTCAACTGTACTCTCACTGATTATATCATTTACCATGATTTGTAATGCATTACATTTAACTGTCTTATGTTTCTGTGTACAATGTTTGTAGTATTGTATTGAATCAGCCCAGAACCAAAATGTTTACTGCCTGTCCATTGTATGAGTTATCTGTATGTTGGGGACGCCATATGTTAGTGTCGCCTAGCTGTCAACATTGTTACCTATGTAGTACACTTATAAAGTTAGATATTCCAACCACATTATAGCAAGGCTCGCTTGCTAGCTGTCACGAGACTCCGTACGTGAGCCATAGGCCAGAGGCTCTGCTCTCATTCGACGACTAGACATAGGAATGGTAAACAGGCAGCCTGGGCTCCTCTCTCAAGACTATAATATACGTCTCCAGACAACCTACAGTGTGTTTTGCATTACTCTGAACATTCCCTATGAACTCCAGAACATGAATGTCAGCTGCTCCAGTCATTAAGGCATCATTGTGTCAGATATGATAAAAGAAAAAAGTAGGAATAAGAGGGATACAATACTATATAGTGGATACCTGCAATACACCAAGGCACTTACTTATAATAAAACCACATGTTTTGTCCAACCGGAGGGAATGTTTGAATTTCTTCATCCTGAGTGAGTGGCTTGGGTCTGCTCAGCAGAGTTTCCTGAAGCAGAAAGACATTGTACTATAGGTTTACATTATAGATGTTTCTGTTAAGGCTGTAAAGAACATGTATACTATACAAACCATTCAAACACCAGAAATGCATGTCTACAATAAATGTCCATACCTCATATTAGGCCTAATACTGTGGTATTTTATTATGTTTACAAAAGATGAGTATTTATTAATTTTATATAAATTCCAAAGCAAAACATGAAAAGCAATCCAAAATAAAGTTTAACCCTTTCAGGGTTTCGGCCGTACTAGTACGGCTTATGCACCGGGTTTTTGACGTACTAGTACGCCTAAATTCTAGCGCCCTCAGATCTAGTGAGAGAAAGCTGGTAGGCCTACATATGAAAGAATGGGTCTATGTGGTCAGTGTGTGTGGTATTAAAAAAATCCTGCAGCACACAGTGCGTAATGAGAAAAAAAACCTTTACCGTGTTTTTGGATTAAAACAGCGAATTTGCAATATATTTTTGTAGGGTATTTATTGTTGTATTCTAGTTTTCCTGGTCTCATTTTATAGAATGGAAGACATATTACAGAAATTGAGATGATTTTGATTGGTTTTACAAAGAAAACTACCTTGAAATTGTGCTCAAAGTAGTAGAAATGTTCGATTTTTACCAAAGTTCAAAAGTAAACAAATCATGCTATGCGTCCAATACACGTCAACTGGCAAGTCTAATATTCTTTCACAAGTGTTCCGATAATATTTATACCATTTCTACACCAATGCAGTAGTCTGCATAACAGTAAATCTTTTATTTTTTTTTGTAAGAATAAAAATTTAAAGTGGAAAGCAAAAGAATGTAAGAGGGGCATGGGGATAGATATGACTAATGAACAGAGGAAATGTTATTTTAGTGCCAGGAATGTCTTTCTTGTTAATTCTGGACCCTATTAGGAAATTGGTATCTTTTGAAATTTGTGTGAAATTGGCAAAATTGTTAAATTCTGACCACTGTATTGGATAGTTAAATTGGTAAAGGGGTGGTTTCTTGTACTGATTCGATAGAAAAAATGGAGTTCTAGCAAAATATTCATGTTTTTTGTCGACAAGTACACTGGAATTGGCCGAAAATAGGGCTCAAAGTGGGCAAAATCGCCAATGCGTAAACATCGCCAAGACCCCTAACTTCACGAGAGCATAATTCCGTACGTTTTCCATCAAATTTCATACTTTTGGTGTCATTATGATTGGGAAAAGATTCTGTATCTTTTCATAAGAAAATATATATTTTTTTTTTTTAAATTTGGCCGACCCTGAGAACAAGTCTCTGAGAGGGCCTGTCGACCCTGAAAGGGTTAAATCAGATATATACACATGAGTTACATTGCTTTTCACACTAATATTACATTGGGCTCCACTTTACCTCCTTAAATGTTTCCTTCTGTAACACATTCTGAAACATTATTTAGTTTAAATAACCAAAAGGAATAATAGATGCTCCTGGTGTCTACTCTATTTCCTGTTCCTCTTGTCCTCTTCAGTACTTTGGAGATACTGGTCATTCTCTTTCTAACAGACTCAGGGAGCACATAAGTATTGTTAGGCTTGCTGACACCAACAATGCTCTTTTCTGTCATGTCAGAGATCACAGTTATCCTACTGACTGGTTTTCTGCTAAAACTGTCTACCCTATTTCTAACTTTCACAGTAGTTGTCTGGTTGAATTCTCCCTTATACACAACTTCCCTTGTATGAATCGTAGTCCTGGTTTTGTTTCTGTCGATGCCTTCCTTTCCCATTACATTGTAAAATGCTCCAAACTACAGAACACCCATGACTTAACCTGATTTGTTTTTCTCCTTTTCCTTCTTCCCCTTTCCTCTTTCTTCCTTCTGCCTTGGGTGTTTGGTCCTTTATCCCCCCCCCCTCTGTGTTTTTGTTCCTCCCCTTTGTGGGCCCCTAGTTCCCTTCCAGTTTTCCTTTTTCTTGGTCTTCGACTGACTCCACTACAACTACCACTACCTCTCTACTTCCTTTCATACTACCTCTCTTGTTCCTTCCCTGTCTGCTGGCCTATATATACTGCCTCCTTCTCCTTTCTGTTAGTGTGATTTTGTAAATGGTCCAAGTCGGACTGAAACGTCATAAGCTCCTCTCTCCTATGTGCGGGTTATCTGTGTACTATTTAGTAAGTTGCACATTTCCCTATCTCCAATTCAGCAAATTTACCATTGTCTATGATATTTTGTCTTCTAAACAGGCAACCTGATATTGCTTTAATCTTCTCTTTTTAACATTTTCCATTTTCACTCTCCTTACAGTTGAAAGCACAATTCTTTTCTAGGTTTAACAATCCTGATAATCATACTGTTACTCTTGGATATAAACTTTAGTACACATGTATTCTTTTAACTGTAGCTGTTGCATTTGTCTGCACTGAAGAGCAAGCAATAGTGAATTATTTGAAAGAACAGGTAACCAAGAATTGTAAAATCCCTAAAATTATTATTACTATTATTTCGTTGTAGTAATTTCTGAATTGTTTAAAGTTTCTGAACTGTTCAAGCTTTTGGAGTGGCATGCTTCCTGTACTGGAGTATACCTGGAGAGGGTGAAGGTGACTACTTTATTAAGAAGGTTAAGATAATTTATTTATTTTTTTCAACACATCGGCCGTTTCCCATCGAGGCAGTATCACCCAAAAATGATAGAACACTTTCACCATCATTCACACATAATCACTGTCTTTGCAGAGGCACCCAGATACGAGAGTCTAAACTCTCGTATCTGGGTGCCGATATCCCAAACTCCTCCTTTAACCCTTTGTCTGTCCTGTAGTTCTACTGCTCTGAAGCCAGGGTTCAAGCCGTAGTACAGCCTCTCCTCACTTAGCAATGTACTCGTTTACCGACGCCTCGGATTTACGATAGGCTCTCTGACCAGTATGCATGCCTAAATAATGTATATTAGAGCTGATTTCTTCTATTCTGTTTATTACAATACATATTACATTACTGTATAAACATCTGAAAATATACCAGAAATGTTAGGAATGGTGCAAAAGGTGACATTAAAACCAATATCAAAGATGGCTGACACAAACCCATTACCATTACAATATGCTCCTCACTTAGTGATGAATTTGTTTACCGACGTGGTTTTAGGAACGGAACTCTGTCGTTAAGTGAAGAGAGGTTGTACGACACCATGAGCTCAACTCTCTCAGATAAGCTGTGAGTGGTAAATTTGGGCCTAGATATGAGAGGATGCATCTATGTGGTATGTGTGCACCATATAAAACAAATCCTGCAGCACGCAGTGCATGAGAACAAATTGCAATTGTGTTTTTGGATTAAAACATTGACTTTGCGGTGTATATTAATGTGTTTTTTACAGATGTATTTGCGGTTTCTTAGTCTCATTTGATAGAATGGAAGATATATTACAGAAATAGAGATGATTTTCATTGCTTTTAATACTGAAAATGTCTTGAAACTTAGCTCAAAGTAACAGAAATGTTTGATTTTTGCCAATGTTCAAGAGTAAACAAATGACGTCACAAATCCAATATACGTGTCAGCTGGTGGGTCTAATGTGCATTTACGAATGCACAATTATTACAATATTGCATAACAGCATATCTTCTATTTTTTGGTGTGAATAAAAATTCATTATGTGAATAAAATGTAAAGGAATTCATGTGTAAAGCCTAGAAATGTAACTAATAAACAGAGGAAATGTTATTTTAGTGCCAGGAATATCTGCGCTATTTATTCTGGAATCTATTTGGAAATTGGAATATTTTGAATTTTGTGTGATATTGGCCAAATTACCAATTTCTGATCACTTTATTGGGTAGCTGAAACAGTTGACTGGGCAATTTCTTGTGCTCAATCGATAAAACAGAAGAAATACTAGCAAAATAGCTAAGAATTTGGTCGAATGGAATAACATAACTGGCCTAAAATGGGAGTCAAAGTGGGCAAAATTGCCAATGTGTATACAATGGAACCTCCACTCATGAGTTTAATCCATTCCATGACCTTGCTTACATCTAGATTTGCTTGTTTGCAATCAATTTTCCTCATTTAAATTAACTGAAATGCAATTAATCCGTTCCTGGTTCTCAGGAGGCTTGAAAGGATACTTCAATATTTTGCTAATATCATCTATACGCCTTATTTATCTATCACAATTCATCTAATATGACATAATAAACGATATAAATAACATAGAAACCTGATATATACTCTAGAATGAATAAAATGTCATTCATGTAGTGGTATCGTTGGCAGTGGACAAGAGTTTGTCTGGAGACAGGACAAAATACTCCTTGAATAATTTCACTAATAACATCTATATGGCTTATTTATCAATCACAATTCATCTAATACGACATAATAAACAATATAAATAACAGAAACCTGATATATAATCTAAAATTAATAAAATATGTCATTATGTAACAGGTGGACGCGGCCACAACTGCTCCCGCTTTGTTGTGGTAAACACTGCCATCTAGTCATGGCTTTTATAAGCTGTCTATTATTATAATTATTATTATATAGTACATTATTATTATACATGTATTATTATTATACGTATTATATTATACTATATTATTATACGTATTATTATCATTATTATTAATATAAATAATTGGTAATTTTTGAGCTGTTGGAATGTGAGCAGGGTAATATTTAGTGAAGGGATTCAGGGAAACCGGTTATTTTTATACAGCCGGACTTGAATCCTGGAAATAATAAGTACAATGCCTGCACTTTAAAGGAGGGGTTTGGGATATTGGCAGTTTGGAGGGATATGTTGTGTATCTTTATATGTACAGGAAGGCCCCACTTATACGGCTGGTTAGGTTCCAGGCTACCGCCGTAAAGTGGAACACCCTTTTTTTCCACTTACAAATGCATACAAACACTAGATAACAAGTTTACACTAACATATATTAAGTTAGCAATAGAACCAGGCATCAAAAAACAATAAAAAAGTACAATACACACATAGTGCACTCATTACTTACCTTA